ACCAAATCCCCAGGATGCTTGGAACCTTTTAATAGAGAAAAAAGAAGTAACATTTCTCCTGTAGAAATTTTAAAATATGGACAAGCCCAATTGATTGTACCTAAAAGTTTTTGCCATTGAACCAAAGTATATGAAGATTGCACTTTAATTTCAGGTAGGATAGGAATGGAAGAAGATTGTAAAACTTTAAACCCTAAATATGAATAAGGTTCATTGCGTTGTATTTTTTTTAGGAGCTATGTAAAGCCCTCTGCTTGCTACAATAGTAGTCAATGTTTGTAGCACTTGTTCTTCATCAAGATCTGAATCCGCTATTAAAATATCATCCATATAATGATAAACTAAATAAGAAGGAAATTGATCACAAAAAGGTTGCAAAGCTTGATCCACAAAATATTGACAAATAGTAGGAGAACTGAGCATACCTTGTGGTAAAACACACCAATGATATCGTTGTGTAGGTTGGCTATTATTTAAAACAGGCACAGCGAAAGCAAATTTTTCTTTATCCTGTGACTGTAAGGGAATAGTGAAAAAACAATCTTTCAAATCCACAACTAATAGTTTATAAAACTGTGGGATTAAATTAAGATTAGGAAGACCATATTGTAAAGGCCCCATTGGTTGAATACATTCATTTATTTTTCTAAGATCAGATAAAAACTTCCATTTTCCACTTTTCTTTTTTATAACAAACACAAGAGTGTTCCATGGACTAGTAGAAGTTTCAATATGGCCAGCAGCCAATCGCTCCTGTACCAGGGAATTAAGAGCAATCAATTTTTCAGAAGATAACGTCCATTGCTCAATCCAAACAGGTGTAGAACAAAGCCATTTAAGAGGAAGTGCCATCATCCAAAATCAAATGAGCGTTAAGAAGAGAAAGAAGATCCCTGCCCCAAATACTAGTATGAATATCTAAAATGTAAGGATCTAAAGATACAGACTTGCCAGCAGAAGTTGTGATGGCTATGGAATAAGTGCTTTGCCAAGCAGTTGTAGACCCACCAATGTCCCACAAGGAATTAGCATCACGTTTAGGCCATTGCATAGGCCACTGTAAAAGGGAGATGACAGTAACATCTAACAAACCTTGAAAAGGTTGCTTATTAAGATATAAAGTAAGAAGTGGCCTATGAGAATTAATAGACTGCAGAAGTCCTATAGAAGTAAGAGTTGAACCAAATCCAGAATCACCACAATGTCTAATACCTGGGTTAGGTACCTTATAGGGAAGTAAAAGAAGTTGTGCTACAGAAGATCCTTTAGAAAGAAATTGTGGAATGTTAACCCAAATTTGCATAAGAATCACTCCAGTGTAATCAGAATCAATAACTCCTGGTACCACAAAACATCCCAATTTATGAGAAGAATGTGGTAAGATTATGTCAACCAAACCAGAAGGAAGAGGACCAGTGTATTGAGAAGAGACCAATTTCACTTCTAAAGGGAATTTAAAACAAACACATCCTGTTTAATAACTTCACTTTTGCACTTAGGAGATTCTGTACAATGGTAGTCAACCACCACTAAATGGCGTTGAACAACAATCTTTCTGACAATGACCTGATTTTCCACATTTG